TGAAAACAATATTAAAAACAAAACACAAAAAACTAACCAATTAAAAAATGAGAAGTATGTATATTATTATATGATAAGAAAAGTTTTAGGTGATTTTGGCATTTTTAATATTGGGTTAATTTGCAAGATAACCAAAAAAAATAATAATTAAAAATCTAGATAAAATTGTCTTATGTGGCAAAATCATAATCACTAAAACTAGGGTAATTGTTTAATTGGTTAGTTTTTGAATTATAAAATTTTTGTTGATTATTCTTGCAAATTTTCTTTTAAAATTTATTTAAGCAAAGCGGTCTTTTTATATTGTTATTACTAAAATTGGGAATAATAACATTTTCTTAGAAAAATCGAGATTATGTGATGTATGATTTAAAATGAAGTATTGGAGAGAATATTTTTTAATCAATTATTTGGTCAGAGTCTCACAAATGATATGTTATAGTTATAGGTGTGAAACAGAACTAACTCGTTTGGCTCAACTCAACTCATTATGATTTAGAATATGTCATTGCTCGGCTCAACTAATTGATTATATGAGTCTATATTTATAAGTTTGAACTAAATGAGTTAGTTCGCGAACTAATACAAAATAAATATAAGAATAAATAATGGTAAGCTATTATAAAATCTAAAATTAGATTGAGATGTTAATTATTTAAAATAAATCCAAATAATATTGTTCGTATATTTAAAATATATATTTTGGTTGGTATATCTAAAATATTATTTACAATATATAAATCTAATATTTTAAATATTTTTTTAAAAAATTTTCGTGAACTCATGACTCATTAAAGCTACTTAGCATAATTCACCAACTCAATTAAGTTTGATCACATAACTCATTTATTAAATAAACTTGAAAAATATATCTCAAACTCCTAAAATTCTGAAATGAATTGAGTCAACTCATGAGCTAATGACTCATTTTGACAATCGTAATTATAGTTGAGTCATCGGTCAGAAATACTGTTGTAACATAGCCGAGATAATACAACTACTACAAAGCTTACATGTAATGATATGTATAAATACTTAAACAGTCAAGTATTTCTGTATGTGTAGTGACATTAAAATAGTAATAACATAATATTAGTACGTATTATGTTTTTGGCTTGTCTACCATGTGAGTGTGGGCAAATAGCAAATACCCATCCGTAATTTTCAATACTATGCGAGTGTATACAGTATACAATAATAGAGGAGCAAAAGCATAATGATTCTCAGAGTCAGTCAATAATTTATTTAAATTATGTGTTGTATTATTGGGTAACTTTGTAATTGAGTCATTGATAATTGAGAAACACCGGCATGTCATATTTACTAATGTAATCTGTTTTCGAAAATATTAAATATATAGTATACCAAATGACCATAATATCTTTCTGATTTAACGAAAGACATGATTATTATATAGTTTTGTGTCAGATTGTGTCAGCCGAAATTATGACATACCATTAGTTTAAAAATAAACAAATGTATTTTTTCTTTCATTATTTTATTTTTTATTTGATTTTTGCTTTTTCTAATATTTTGTTTAAAACTTTAATTTTTTCATCTTTGTATAAAAAAAAACAAATTTTCTACATATATAAGAATTTGAAATTTTGAAAATCAACATATATTATACAAACTATTCATATAATATTTTAATGAAACTTAACATTATATATGACATACCATAATACATTATTCATATATTCAATATGACATACCATAACATAAAAATGATATTACATCCAAAAATATTGATAATAAGATTTTATTATATCTATGATTAATCAGACTATTC